GGCGTTTCTTATTAGCTTAATTAACTTATATATTACTCATTATAATATTCTATACTAATATAGTATTTAGATATAATATAGTATTTTATTATATTATATATTAAATTAATATATATATAATATCTATATTTACACTATAAAATAGTATATTTACACAATATATTTATAGAATATAACAATACAGCATATTAACACAATAACTAGCTCCCCCATATTCCCACTAATGAATTCCTCGACCAAGACGTGCACGCCCCCGGCATCCCACTTGGTTCTTGTTGGCTCGGATCGTATGGCGTTGGCATTGTTTGAGTTGATGTAAGAAGACCCCGTCCGGGCGTGGGGCAAAGCTGGGCCCGGGATGCTTCAATCCCACGAAACACCCCAAGACGAAGGTAACAGCGGCAGCTATGGTGACGTCCATGAAGTGAGAACATATTGGTCAGGGTCTGTAGACGTATTCTTTGTTACGTAGCCAGACGGTTAGGGCGAGAGTCAGGGGATGGTGATGGTTGTTGGAGTTGTGTTGCAATTCTGGTAACTGCCTGCACATGTCGAGACGCTCCATCGACATATTCTTCCGTCGAGAAGCTCCTCGGGGTTGATGAACGGGTAGCTGTCCCGTTCCTGCTTGATGATCCGGTTGCTATGCAGGGCGTGGAGAAAAGAGCTGAAGGGTCAGCCTGCTTGCACCTCGTGCCATGTGCAACCAGTCTCGTTGAGATGACGTCTCTGGCACAAGCTGTTCTGGACCTTTCAGGAGATGTCATTCCGTGAAGACAGAATTCTTCAACGCAAAGACTAAGCCTACATTCCTCATCATAGGTGACGAAGAAGCAGGCCTTGTAGACCTTATGGGCCATGCTTTGATGTGCAACATCCAGGGCCCGGCAATTCGGTTGCAGAGTGTGTTCTTCGCCATGTTAAATAAGGCGGCTAGATTTCCGCTGAACTTCGTGCTGAGTACTGAGTTGCATGATATTAAGGAGACCATAGTATGTAAGCTATGACTTCGACCTTGTCAGTGGGAAGCTGCTTCAACCGATCCTAAGCCGTGGCGAAATATGACGTCTCACTCAAGTAACCCATATAACAGCCATTGACGCATTGTAACAGAAAAAAGAATTCAAGTGTGCTGAACTCGCTGGTCCATCAAATCTCCTTCCCGCGTTGTGCAGACACAGGACCCTAGGAACGTGAGAGCGTCGTCTCTGTGGAAGTAACCACGAAGGGTTCGGGCAATCTCGTCCATGTGTTCCGGGGTGGCGGTTGGGATATTGTTTTCGAGGCGCTTCAATCTTATTCGAAGTTGGCCAATGTCGTCCAATCTTCCTCCGTTGTTATACGACCTATCTTTCTTTTGCCTCCAAAGCCGCTTGATGAGTAATAGCGAAAACGTGAGATCGGGAAGGCCATCCGTGATCGGGGTTCCGCTCAGTAACGCAAATAGAGGAGGATTGAGTTATCTTAACAGGCAATCCAGCATTGCCTCCACCTAGTTAGATATAGTCAACCGAATCTGGTGCACCTCGTCTTAGACGACGAGCCCCCAGCAAGCGCTGCTGATCGTAAACCTGAGTTTCCCGCCACGGAGCGTATCAAAATGATGGATCTCATTCCATTGCCTCCAGAATGGATACTCGTTCCGGCAAGCGTTCTCGCCATATTTTTCTGTGCACACTTTGCACATCACGAGAGCACCAATGTCGTAGCATGAAGGCATTGTCTCAGCCTTCTGGGCCGGGGGTGCGAGCAGTTGCGAGCAGCCCAGATCCGGGAAATTCACACAACAGTAGAGAAATCCCGTGGAACAGGTTGAAAGGAACCCGCTGACCTTGTGAGTGATTTCGTAATGATGGATGGTAGTGATGGATGGTAGTGATGGATGGGAATCCGCGCCGGAGAAAAAGCACACAAGGCGATCATGGCCTCCATGGTTTTGTTCCGTCAGCATCCCAGCTTTCATCATTCGGCCCCTCGGAAGCCAGCCTCACAGGCTGTCAGTCAGCGGGAATGTGATATAACGACGACAGAGACTGGACGGTCACGTTGATGCCTATATGGGTAGCTACGTTCGGGAGGCGGCCGAGCAGGTGGGGCCGGGCCGGGATGGCCGGCTGACGATCCCAGACCACCTCGGCCGCCTGCTCTTTGATGACTGGTTCGGCGTTGGCGATGTCGATAGAAAATGTTGAAATAGCAGTATAATTCCATCCGACCTCGATGGCCTGCCGAAACCGCGTCTTATAGCGCATTATGCGCTTCATCCCGGCCAGGTCCTTTCTTGCTCCGAGCAGCATATTGGTACATCTGTTGGGCCGTTTTATGGCAGTCGAAGTCTTCCAACGAGTCGGATACATCTAGACAGGACAGTACAACGAGCTAAAAAGATGGCTCAAAACTTGCCCATAGAATCTGCCGTTATTCCGGCTGTGCATGAAAGGCTCGTCGCGCTCTCTGTCCGCTGACTTCTTCTGCGGGCCGATCCTCTGGATCTGGGATGGTCGCGTTGGCGTAAGCCCGGCTTCCTCCACTTTGATCGCTTGCCTCTCTGGCTGACATCTCGCCAAGGTTTCTCGACATGTAATGACAAGTACAGGAAGGAGGCCCCGGACGCATGGATTGTTGATGGTCCCGGGTGATTCCTTGGCCTCCGGTCGACGTGGTGTCAGATTAGGTTGCTGGCTGTGTACGTGCTGCAGAGCGGTTGGCCATTGATAGAAGCCGTCGGCCCGGGGAGAAGTTGCAATCATTGAACAGATCGAATGACTTTCTTTGTCAAAACGAGAGGAATTTTAATTCGATTTAGCCACCACGCCCGCTATCGGGGGATTCAACAAGTTCTCGTCCATTTTTCCTTGCTCTTTTGTGATCTCAGGAGCCATAATGCCTGGGATGTGAAGAGAACGACTGGGAGGACGTAGAGGTCATTTATGAAAAAGATCTTTTGGTTGATCGCGTGATTGATCATCTCAAGAATCGGGGAAGGTCGACCCGAATAAGTTGGTCATTGTCAAGGCTATAGCCGATCATCATGTCGAAGTCTTCATCGCGCTGTTCGCACCAATACTGATGCTTTCAGTCAATGCTTGCGAGCAAACCCAGACAGTCGTTCATGAAGCTTGAAGGCAAATGGGTGGCAGCGCTAACGTGGACAGCCGTGAGTGTCTTGGTTGGGCCTTCCTCCGTCTCATGATGTCCACGAAGTTGTTGGCAGAATGTCTGTTGCCAGCGCTACGATTCTGGGCTTCTGAAATCCAAGCGGCATTGATCCTTACTGCTTGGTGGAATGTCTTACCACAATGTCCAGGTCTACGCCTGATTATGCCAAAACCACAGCTTCACCGGCCCGGGGTCTCGTCCTCTCCACGACTTTGCTGTCACTAGTAACCTTTTGAGCCCCCTAAGGGCGAGGAAGGTTTCTACGCTAAAAAGAAATAAAAACTTAGTAGTAGCTACTATTTACTATAACTAAATAGATAAAAACTTTAAACTTATAGAGTTATATAAAGACCTAAATAATATAAACCTTAATAGTTAAGCTAAAGCTATAAGGAAAGCTAAATTTAATTATAATTATATTATAATATAGTTAGTATTAAACTTCCTCTTATATATCTTTAAATTAAGCTAAAATACCTCTATTCCTTATTAATAGCTTAATAGTAATAGATTTACCTATATATTAGAATATTTAGAATATTACTTTTACCTCTCCTATTAACCTATATAATTTCTATCTCTTAGTAGTTACCCTTATATAAAGCTAAATAAGCCTTACTAAATAATAAGTATATAAGATTAATATAATTAAAAATATATTTAAGTAGATAATAATACTATTTATATCTAAAGATATAGCTAAAATTAACTAACTATTTAACTAATAGTATATTAAGCTCCTCTAAAGACTATAACGCCTTATTTAGTATAGAGGAAATAATATTTAACTTACCTATAGGGGGTAGAAAAGGGTAGTAGGAGCTATATAGTATATAGTATATATATAGGCTAAGTAGTAGGGTAAAGTATAAGTGGTCTTTATATACTCCTAGTTCTAATTAATCCACAAACTTATTCCACAATTTGGACTTTGCTGTCACGGCCGCTGCTAGGGCATGCGACTGCGCGATGTTGGCCGCAAATTCATCGACAATGTCCTTTCTGTGGTCATACCTCTCCATGTCCCTGTCCTTGAAACCGGAAGACGTTGGCTCTTCTGTCAGACTAACCAATAGGAGCTCTGAACACTGTGGAAACAGAAACAAGAGGCTTGGAAAGTGTCGTAATTGTCCTCAATCGCATGGAGGACGTGGCATACACAGCTGGCTCCATGAGTGGGCTCGCCACATTGCAACCACTGGTAGCCCTTGGTGGGCCAGCAAGGACACGCGTGGGGGCGAAGAACAGCCACGACTTGCTGAGGAGGTGGCTGTCCACGGTATAAGCTCAAGTGTCAAGAGCAACGTTTCCAGCAAAGATGACGGCTCATTCAGGAGACATCTGATGAGATCAGTTCACCTGGACATCCTTCTTGCACCCTTGGACGGCCTATTCTGTACTCCTGGCGCCAGATCAAGCCTGACAGTCTATGCATCTGTTGCTAGACCGTTGGGCCCGTGGCCTACGGCTGAGGTGAGGGACAGACCTGTGACCGGTTCCCGTCTCGAGAGAGGCGATCGTAACGGTCGGTTTACCAGCTGTATTTGTCTGCGAAGATGACCAGTTGAATCGGCCAGGCGTAGATGTAGATATGTTTGTCGTCTTCCCGAAAGGAACTAACAGCGCAGCCCGATGTCGTGCTCGTTTGTTTACCCCGGTCCCTGCGGGTGTGTCGCGTCAGTACTTACGCTCTCCCGACCACGGGCGTGAACATTTACTTTGTCTTTTGGAGCCCGGAAAACATGAGCCCCTTCGGCACCGTTGCGTTCCGTAGTTCGTGTTTGTACTAAGACTTTTCGACGCTGAGAACTGTCACCATGGTGGCCTTCAGGCGGTCAAAGTTACTGTGACCACCGCGGCGACGTGGGTGGGGGCGTGTCGCCGTCGCCCTCGAATTGACTGACGAGATCGATACCCCCCTGGGTGTCTGTCAGATCTTGCAACTCCTCGTTGCGCTGAGACAGCCGGACCATAAGAAAGGAACGCTGCAGGCCATTCGCCGCAATGTCGTGCATGTTGCAACTCCGCAGGACCCGGGCGAGCATTTGGAAAGGTTTAGGCACTCCCTTCTCTAGGCCTCCACATAGCGCCTTCCTTGACCTCTGGGAGTTAGTGAAATTCGCCATCTGCAAAATGTTGGCCTTGAAGCTGTTAATCATAGTGACCATTACATAGTCGGCCTGTCGGCGGGCTTCGTTGGCAGTGAAAGGCCTCCTCTCGGTCCTCGTAGTCTTCATGACGGTTACCGGGGTTGACGTTAGCTTGTCCATTACTTGTAGGCTCTGGTGCATGGCTGTCATGCGAGCCATGTCGAACCTTCCAGACACCGCGGTAATGGCCCTCAATCTCGTCGATTGGGCCCGGGTGGGCGACTACTCGTTGCCGTGCTCTTCACCATCCTCGTCGTCGGAGTCGATCGTCTCGTGATCCTCTGACTGCTTGGGTTTTCGATGGCGGGAGTGGAGCGTCCCATCAGCCGTTCTCCTGTTCCGTCCATTGGGCTTCCTTGGGGCAACGATCGGTATGCAGTATGACCTTCATCTTCCACCTTGAACAAGAACGGCCTTAGTCTGGATATGGAGTGAGCCGATAGTATTTGGAAATTCGTTCGTAATTGTGCAGGGGCTGATGCGTTGGAATAGCGATGTCTGGTGCCATCGTAGTAGGGTTGAATGGATGAGGGCAGCAGAAGCGACGGCGATTACTTGATGCTGGAGATGGTCGTCAGTCCCAACCCAGCCATGGAGGGAGATTGATGATCAGTCCGTCCCACCCGAAAGAGCAGGCAGTGGTTCCTCCATGATGTCGGAATCCACAACCGAGTGAAAAGCCGCCATCGCTCTGCGAGTATCGCCTGGTGAGGAACAGATGTGCTACTCTGGTGGAATTCCATGTATCCAGGGCCGTTATCAACCCTACGACACGCTGTAGATAGTGGTTGGTTTCAATGGCAAACCCAGGACGTGGACTCAGCAGGCCACAGACACTTGTGGTTCTTGCCTATCAACAACCCGCACCGAGAAATACGATGGACAGAAGGAGGCTCGGCCGTGCCTTTGATGAATCGGAGCGTTTGTCGCAATGCTGAGAAGCTGACTCTGCTTTCTTATCTGCGGGCCCGTGGAGCTCAGTGAAGCCATCCACAGTAAAGCGCCACCCCTGGGGTCCCGGGATTTGGATGACAGGATACCATTGCCATCGTCAGACGGATATCCCATCTGTGGCTAGACAAAAAGCACCGAAGAGGTCTGGCAGAAAACCAATCGGGCCGTACACCGATCTGACAATACGGGAAGAAGGAGATACAAAGTAGCTCCCTCGCCTCCGCTACGGTGGGTTCTGTCGTCCAGACGCTCGCAGGTAACGTCAAAGCCGTTTAGGATAGCGTTCATAGATGAGCGATAATCCGGGCCAATGCGGTTTACAGGGGCACGCAAAAAGGTAATAACTCTCTGATCGGTTCCCGGAGCGGTAAGGATGGTGAACTGGAAGTAAGATCCTAGTCGACGCGAAACTGACTCGGCATATGGGTGGCTACCATTGTAATAGTCTCGATGGGTGTGATGACAGCTCCGAGAGCACGGTGCGTTTCAAGCTTCTCACCTTCATGTTGGAATGATCTCCTCGAACAACTCCCGAGGTCTGCGTTGTATCGGGGGAGAAACAAAACAGACGAGGTGCACCAGCGGCGAAGGCGCGAGGGAGCATATGTCATAGGTGAGGGTCCTCGGATTTGCGAGACCGACACCACCTTGTCTTGCCACTCTGCGTGTGGTCGGAGGACCGAATTTGGTAGCTGCTAGATCCATATCCCTTGGAGAAGGCGATCCGATCGAGCTCTGGTGCGGATTTCATGTTCCTCTTCGGCCAACGGGAGTGGCCGTTTGTTGTATTCGAATGGGATGCGCCTCGTGGCTGGTATTAAGGGCCCGAGTGGACTGGACACAGTTTTCGACAACTTGATTGCGGAATTAGTACGTAGCTACCGCTGATCGACTCAGCTGGCAGTGAACGTCTTGCGCTGCAATTCTAGCGTAACATCATGCGTAGGGCGAGCTGCATGCTGGGCAGAGAGACCCCGGCGAATATGAGAATAACTCCAGGGAAACGAGCGCATATAGCCATCATGCATTTCTCTGATTGGCGTCGTGGCGGCTCGATAGAAATGAATTAAGTGTCTCGGCAACGAGGCGACGAGAACCCGTGATCGTCACATGAGACGAGGAACTGCAGAAGGGCTCGAGCCTTGATGGCCACCGACAGTGTCAACAGCGTCCAAGTCGGAAGAGTTGACACCTCAAACACCTTGTGTTCGATTCGTGGTTACGAGTCCGACTAGACGTGCCGATGAGAGACTGCCTCAGAAGTCAAGACATAGGAACGCTGCACCCAGGCCCCAGCCGTTGGGACCGTTTTGCACAGGTGGCTTTCTGAGAATGGTAGATAATCTTGTGCAGATTCTTCGACAGCCTTTCGAAATTCCTCGACCGAATCTGCAACAGCGATATAATGCTGAATGTGTGGAAGAGAAAGACAACGACGCCAATGAAGTTGGCGATCTTCTCCGATTGGATATTGACGATGTCTTTGTAGACTTGTCCGAGTACGGGAAGAGGACCCTTCGGCGAACTCCGTGATGTTCTGTATGCCTGATTCTCAGCTGTCGAGATCAACAAGCACGGTTCGTAAGTAGAATAGACTCCGTATGGATACTGTCTCTATGGGCCTTGGCGTCGACAGTCCGGGGAGACAACAAGTCTGAACTGGGATACGGAGTCCGGTGGTCGTTTCAACATCGAGCTTGGCGACTATGTTAGCCCTTCAAACCCGTGCGTCGACACAACGGAAGGCCAGAATACGATGTCGAACGCAGTGCTGTGGCGGGTGTTGAGCTTGGTCAAAACCACCCAGGATTCTATCGAAATCCGGTGACTGGGAAGATCTCTTGGTTATTCATCATCACCAACCGGGATTCACCACCAGTACCCCGCCAACTCATTAGCACCACACAACCAGTTAAAGTCTCGTTTCTGATCCACATCAGACGGCGACTTCAGGTTGTTCATCGTCCCGTCGAGCATTGGTGTAGGCCCGGCCCAGGAACGCCCGGGAATGGGATGGACTGCGGGTGTTCCAGACTGCTCTCCTGACCGGTCCAGAGGATACAGTCCAGAGAATACCGTGCAAGGGATTGCCTCTTTGCCATTCTACTGCATAATCAATCGACGAGAAATTGTGGTGTTTTCCTCCCGAGTCTCAATCGTAGGAGACAATGGTGCCCGCTCGTCTTAGGGAGATGGGCTGTCGCAGGATTTCCGAGGTGGCGCATGAGCACATCGATTTGCCGGAAGATAATGGCAACGGCCATGCAATCTCTCGTCTTGCCCATACCCATCGTATAAGCCAGTAGGGCACCCCGCTTTCCCTCCAACACGAAGGTGAGGATCCTGTAGGTGTCGGCCAGCTGGTATGGGTACAGGTATTGTTTGGCACCGACGAGGTAGATGCCCTCAGTAGAGTTCGGATCAATGCTGAACTCGGCAGCTACAGTGGCCCAGAGTTCCACATCGTCTTGGACACGGAGGAATTTTCTTCGAGTCTCGATCGTGAATGTTCAAATAGCTCTGGGACCTGGGTACCTTCGTGGTTCAGGTGGTAGTTCCAGCGGCGTTCGCGTTCCCTTCGACATCGCGACAAGGGGGTGACTGCAATACATACCTAGCTATACATCATTCTCGAAAGGGTCAACGGTTTCATCAGACGCATAGTCCCAGCTGCTATAGGCTTCTATGGCAAATGTAGCACTGGGGAATGGCTTCTGATTCCTCCCGAGGCTAGTTTTCGAAGATGACCCAATACAGAAGTGTGATGCTTGGACATTTGGTCTCGAAGAGGGGCGGCCGCAACACTGCCATGGATTATTCTCTTCTTGAAGAACTCCTACAAGAATTGCGTTCCGGGCAATCTGCGACCGGGCAGATGGACAGCGACCTGCAATCGAGTCGTTATCTAGGCGAGTGTGTATCCGGCGACGTTATTCATTCGGACTGTGCGTTCCCAGCACATCAAGTCAGGGACGATGAAGTAAGGTCCCGGAGGTTGAGGCTAATGCGTTCGGGAGATGGTTCTAGATGCCTGAAGAACGGGAGAACCTATCCAAATCTTGAACCTGTCGAGACAGGAAGCTCCTTCGCGTTTGATGAGAAGCTTATCAGGAAACTTTCTGAACAGTATTGGGCCCGAGTTGGATGGCGGTTATATTGATGAGCAAATTTCGGGTTCAGATCCAGCTCAAAACCCCCGTGTTTCACCGCCTAATGTCTCGATGAGGTTGGCTGTGTTGGCTCATCGTCGGCGAGAAGAGCCGTGTTGCCATCCGCCACGCCTGCGTAGGCAGGGCAACGTAGTTTCTGATTTGTGAAAATGCAGTTCCGGCGCGTGGTCCGCGTAGTTTTATCCTCTGTATGGTCGTTCCTAGATTTGTTGGATGGGTTTCTCCAATGTTCTGTTGCTGACGTTTCCTTCGGGTGCGACGCCCGTTGTTTGGGTCAATCACTCAAGCAATGCTTAACCGCACTGGAGTAGCAGGCGATTCAGCACTCGATGAGTCTAAATCATCGTCCCTAAGATTGATCTCACGAACGATGTGGCCAGAAGCAGGCGCATTAGGACCTGGTGTCCGAGGTTCCGTCGGCGCTCCATGAGAATGTTTGTCGCCATGGGCCCAGAGGTCTCCTTGAGGCCTTCAGGATATGCAGTCATGTACGACCGCCGCTGCTGAGCTACCTTGCTCATGAGGAAATGCAGGACAAGACCGAGACAGTGCACTAGTTTCTCTTCGGTGCGGAGATCGTATCTAATGAGACTTCCCTCCACCGCAAAGTGGAAGATATCTTGTCCGTTGGTGATGAACTTCTCTAGCCATGCCAAATTACATCAGCGGCGTAACGTGGAGATGAGGGCCGATTGTTGAGCTCGACGGGTGAAATAGTTGAACCGTCGGCGACTATGCGGGAAGCCTCCCGCTTTAGCGATGCCACCAACCGCTGGCTGCTGGGACCCAGAGCGCAGTCCTGCCTCTCGATAGCCTTCGTCTTGGTCTCTGGCCGGGGTCTTCGATCTGTGGTGAGATGGACGTACGACAGCCGCACCAGTCCTTCTCCAGGCTCTCAGGATCTCTTAGCAAAGTAGTCATACTACTCAAGACATGGTGGCTTCTTTACATTCCCACTAGAAGCATCTGAAGCTGGAGGCTGTTGTATTACGTCCA